GGCGAGCCCCCCCCCCCCCCCAACACCCGGTGGTTCAAACGTTTTGGGCTGAATTTGCGGCAACTGAGAGTAGAAACAGCTCGGTTTTAGGAGATACGGGGCCATGATCTTTTAGCTGCAGCGAGCCTGGGGACAGCCCAGCACCAGGCCTCTTAAGGAACTTAACTTCAACCTACTAGCTAACAAGCCGACTAGCAGGCAGCCCTTGGGACAGAGAAGTACTTCAACCAATAGAAAAGTTTGCATTGCTTAGCTGCATACAACTGAGAGTAGAAACAGCTCGGTTTTAGGAGATACGGGGCCATGATCTTTTAGCTGCAGCGAGCCTGGGGACAGCCCAGCACCAGGCCTCTTAAGGAACTTAACTTCAACCTACTAGCTAACAAGCCGACTAGCAGGCAGCCCTTGGGACAGAGAAGTACTTCAACCAATAGAAAAGTTTGCATTGCTTAGCTGCATACAGCAGTGGCGGGGGCACAAAAGGGGTGGAGTAGCTCCCCAGCATAACTCACAACTGTTTACATGTAACTGACTCATTCCAAGCACAAAAATTCACGGTAGGGTTTTGTTTGTGGCTATTTTCCAAATTCTTGAGTCAGGCCCCATAAAAAATAACTTTTAATAAGAAATATTGGAGTTATTTTCCTGTAGCTTCCCACTTTTTCATGAAGAGGCACATGCTCAGGTTCTTCTCTGCCATGACCAGGAATAGAAACGTAACATTTTTCTACCCCTCTTACTTGAAAACTGAGTATGTGAGATAATCAGGACTCCAGGAAGCAGTTCTTTCAGCAGTTCTTTTTGTAAAAGGGATGCAAATTAGACGTATCGCAATTGCTAATGAAGCAGGGATTTAAATCTCCCCCGCTTCATTAGCATAAAAATGGCTGCTGCTTTTTTTTGGCACAGAGCTTTGCCGGAAAAAAGCGCCAGTCTAGACGCGGATCTTTCGGAAAATAAAGCCTTTTCCGAAAGATCCCTTATCGCTTATTTTAAGAGGGATAAGAGATTTTTCGGAAAAGGCTTTATTTTCCAAAAGATCTGCGTCTAGACTGGCGCTTTTTTCCGGCAAAGCTCCGTGCCGAAAAAAGCGGCAGCCATTTTTATGCTAATGAAGCGGGGGAGATTTAAATCCCTGCTTCATTAGCAATTGCGATACGTCTAATTTGCATCTCTTTTACGAAAAAGGGATGCAATCTAGACGTAGCCCAAATGGCATAACAGGCAACAGTGCTTTATTTCCTAGGAAAATTGCCAATATAGACGCACAGGGTTACCTTCCTCCTAGCAGACAACAGCCATATAGAAAGACACCAAGAGCCTGTCTCCCAAGGGGAAAGTAATGATAGCCCCAAGAAGAACTGTCTGTAAAAAACCTGCTAACTCCTCTACACTTGGGATTTAATTTTAAGGCCTTTTGAAAATCGTATTGCTCCTGCTAAAGGCAGCTGAACTGTCTTTCAAGGGGGCACTTCAAAGCCTTCCTCCCCTGTTGCAACTCTCCTTCATTCCAATGGTCGTGGCCTGGGTCAGCCGTTGCGAGTCCTGGCAAGCCCTCCACAGGGGAAGGAAGGAGCAGGCCTGACTCCGAGCTCTCACCATGTCTCAGGTGGAATTTGAGAAAGCTGCTGCTCTGCTCAGGCAAATTAAGGACCCAATCTCAGACCAAGATAAACTGGAGATTTCCAGTCTCTGCAAACAAGCCACAATCAGGGACATCAACATCCCTTGCCCTTGTGCAACCGATTTAATAGGCAAAGCCAAATGGGAGGCCTGGAATGCACACAAGGGGATGAGCATGGCTGATGCCATGAATTATATTGCAAAAGCTGAAGAGCTGAAAAAAAAAAATACGGAGTGTAAAATTACACATTCATGCAGCCACGTGCCATTAGAAGGTCTTTTGACTCCACGTTGCTGCTAGGGAGTTTCCTCTCATCCTCAGAGCAATGTAGCTCATGTCGCTGCTAAGCCAATAAAACTCTAGTAAACAACAGAGTGGATATGACTGACAAATTGTGCGTAGCGTGCAGCCTTTGAGAGTCTCTACAAGGTGGAAGTTTAGTTCGGGCTAAGGCTAGTCCAGTCATTGTTTATGATTCCTGGTAACTCCTAGCAATATTTAAGAGGCTTATTTTAACAAGCCTGTGTATTTGTTTAAAGGCATACCCTCCCTTGGAAAAAATCACAGTACAGTCTGACAATGTTGCACTTACTGTAGTTACAAGTGCTGCTCAAGCGCATGGTACATAAAGTAACTTGGACTGGTTTGTGTGCAGTTTACAGCATACTGGACAGTTTCTCCATTACTAACACAGGCTTGGAGAAATCAGACCAACAAGAAATCACATTGCCAGAATCCCTCCAACAACATACGTAACCCTGGGATGTGGAGAAGACATGCTGCAGGCTTTGAGCTTAACAACTGACCCCTCCGTCAGCCTTTACAAGGTCAAATAGTGGGCAGCCGTTAATCCAGAATAGGCCAGGAGTGATCCGGACACAATCTCTCCCTCTCCACTTTAATTTTCTTTTAAACTTTCAGTGCTTCAGGTTCTGTGCTGATGCTCAGTTCCTAAGGAAGCACAGCCGTTGGGCAAGCTCACGCAAAGCCACTCCATGGCAAACCTTTGCTTTAGAAACTGTTCTGTTCCTCTCCCACGGGTGCCAGGGCAGAGGGAGGCGAGGGGGGGTTTGTTCCTACACACTTGCAAATAAAAATCGGATGTTTGGGGCTCACTGAGAGGTCAGCAGCTCCCACTCCTCATTTTGTGTTAATTGCTACGTCAAGATCACAATGTCATTAGAATGATGAGTTCCGGGAGCAAGACAGAGGAATTCTGCACTGCCCAAGCTGCCATTTGCTGGTACTTGCACTGCTAAATCCAACACAAGATCAGTTCCAAGTATGTAACACGGGAAACCTTCCATGCACCATTTGCACATGCAGCACATCTGCTGTAAGAGGGCAGAACCACAGTGTCGGTCACTTTACAGCAGCAGGGAATTTGGGTTGGGAGGAAGACAGCAGTTGGCTACTTTGCCTCTTCAGATATAAGGGGTCTCCTTCCCAGGAGCTGAAACTCATCTACTGCAGGAGACAGAGCTGTCTTGTGGGCCAGTCCTGGTTGTGGAATAAACCCACCTACTAAGGGCCATGCCAAGCCCCCCCATCTTCTGCCTCAAGTGCAAGCTGTATTTCTTTTGTAGCAGATACATAGCAAGTTGGCATCTCATACATCGTTTAAAAAAACCACACAAAACCCAAGTCACTGAATCCCCGACTGCCCCCGCTGAGATGAGGAAAGAATAGACACGGCAAACAGTCACTTTGGGCACGACTGGCACGCATTGAGGCCCAGATCCTCAAAAGGCACCTAATTCCCATTGGTGTCAAGGGGAGTTGGGCACTTAAAAGGCCTTTGAGGATCGGACCACAGACTATATGAATGAGCAGGCTCTATAACAATATATAGAACAGTGAGCAGTTGCTGTTTGCATTGGATCACCACCCTGGGAGAGCTTTTCATGGGGGGGGCGTTCATTTTATAATCTGTGTAACTGGAGAGAGCAGGAGCCACACTTCACTGTAGGCAAAGCCCAAGTTCATAAACAGCAGCCGTCTGTCTGAAATAGGGACTTGCTCGGGGCCATCGTTCATGGCTTGGGCATCTAGACACCAGCCCACGGCTCTGTAATTTCCCCCAGGGCTGTGTGCATTGACTGGCCGACATCCAACCATGTGAGACCAAAAGTGAGTGAGATCACGTTAGAGTCAGATCATGTGCGTCTCTCAGAGCCTGTAGCTTTGTGCGTGGTCAGTGCATCTTCCCAGCCCGTTCGCATGAGTGGGGTGGCGTTTGAAGCATTTCCATCCAGGCAGAGCTTTTCAAGCGTCTGGCAGCACGTCCTGGCAGAGCTGGACAAGGGATTTACCCCCCCACACACACCCCTTCAGGGATGGACTGAGCCAGGCATTCCTCAGCATTATGAGGTCATCACATGCAGCACCCAGGCTGTAACTCACCTGAACAAAGGGGGCGGGTTGAATCTCTCCTGGCTTCACTTTGCAGGCGGGTACAGCAGGCGGCAATTAGAGACTGCAAGCAGCGTAGAGGCTCATTCAGTTTCAGAATAGGCCAGGCATTGGTTAGGGCATCTATTAAACCGTTACCAATAATTCAGACTTAACTGACAAACCATTAAAAGTGATTGGCTTCACTCCCGCCACATGAAAGTGATGCTGCAGCCTGGACACAGTGCACTGATCCTAGTGACAAGGGCGACATGAAGGGGCTTGAGGGGAACTATTGCGATTGTTTGATTGGGTGACAGCTTTCCACAGTTAGCTTCCTCCTAGCTCAAAAGGGTCCTGGACACTCTCCCTTGAGAAGGCAGATTAGGGCAATATCCAGCACATGTTCAAAACAAAACTCTGTCAAACTGGGCTTTGAGAACCTCTCAGCAAACAGCAACTGAGACTCAGCCCTCCAGAGATAAGTCTGAGCATGTTATTCCCAACCCTTCCTGTACATTCACAGTCCACTTCAATGTGAACATTAGGAGCAATGATCAGTATTATGCAAAGGGTGCAGTCCAGGGAGGTTGGTGCATTTTCACCTCACACTGGCTATGTCTACACTGGCATGATTTTCCGGAAATGCTTTTAACGGAAAAGTTTTCCATTAAAAGCATTTTCGGAAAAGCGCGTCTAGATTGGCAGGATGCTTTTCCGCAAAAGCACTTTTTGCGGAAAAGCGTCCGTGGCCAATCTAGACGTGGTTTTCCGCACAAAAGCGCCGATCACCATTTTCGCGATCGGGGCTTTTTTGTGGAAAACAAATCTCTGCTGTCTACACTGGCCCTTTTGCGCAAAAGTCTTTCGGAAAAAGACTTTTGCCTGAACGGGAGCAGCATAGTATTTCCGCAAAAGCACTGATAATCTTACATGAGATCGTCAGTGCTTCTGCGGAAATTCAAGCAGCCAGTGTAGACAGCTGGCAAGTTTTTCCGCAAAAGCAGATGATTTTGCGGAAAAACTTGCCAGTCTAGACACAGCCCCTATGAATAAAAGTACATTAACAGGAGCATTGTGAGCAACACACAAGTAGTAAATCTTCTGTTCTACTCTGAGCTGATTAGGCCTCAAATGAAGGATTGTGTCCAGTTCGGTGCACCACATTTCAGGAAAGATGTGGACAAACTAGAGACTGTCCAGAGAAGAACAACAAAAATGATTAAAGGTCTAGAAAATACGACCTAGGAGGGAAGACACAAAGAATTGGGTTTGTTTAGTCTGGAAAAGACAAGACAGAGAGGGGACATGAGAACAGCTTTTAAGTACCTACAAGGGCGTTACAAGGAGAAGAGAGATACATTTTTCTCCTTAACCTTTGATGACAGAACAAGGAGAAATGGGCTTAAATTGCAACAAGGGAGGTTTAGGTTGGACATTAGTAAAAACTTCCTGTCAGTGTGGCCAAACACTGGAATAAATTGCCCAGGGAGGTTGTGGAGTCTCCATCATTGGCGACATTTAAGAAGAGGTTGGACAGACACCTGTCAGGGATGATCTAAATGGTGCTTGGTCTTGCCGTGAGGGCAGGGGAATGGACTCAATGACCTCTCGAGCTCCCTTCCAGGTCTAGTATCCTATAATTTCATGTTAAAGATTTTCCAAGCAGCCTTTCCTCCCATGACCTGGAAAGGATGATGCGACAAGTTTTAGGGTTTAGACAGTTCTGAAAACGGCAAGAGGAAAGGTTTATAAGTTTTAGTTTACAGTAAAGGACAATTATGTTATTACAGCTGGGGATTAACGCTTTTGATGTGTTGTAATGAAAGCAGCTTGAAATATTAAAACATAGCAAAAGAAATTGAACACTCTCCTCTCTATAGTTTCCCTCTCCCAGGCCTGCTACCACAGAAATAGCAGACTTTGTTAAACATTCACTATTACCAGGCAGTTGAGGGAAGGTGAAACATTCATTTTTTCAATTAATAGCATTTTTGTTTAAGTGCTTCTTTGTTGTCCTAGATCAAACAACAGGAAGAGAATAAATAGTTGGCACAAAATGGCTTATTCATGGATACATTAGAGTCAGGGCGTGCATGCATGTAATTTAAACCAAACCCAAAATCAAAGCTCCCTTATCACATCTAATACTCAAGTCTCACAGGTAGTATTGATTACAAAAAGAAAGAGCACTAATTCTTAAGATATATCTAAGGTTAGAGTGAAAGACTGGTAAATTTAACATTGGCTTTGTCTACACTACACATTTTTTGCAGCAGAAAATATGCTGATGTCATGACTCATGCTAATGAGTTCCTCATTAGCATATTTTCTGCCACAAAAACATGTAGTGTGGACATAGCCTATGACTTCTAAAAACCAAGGGGAAAAGTATAGTAAAAGGACCACTATCGTTCCAATATTAAGCTACTTTTTCTTGTCATGTTTTTAGTTGAAGTTTTTTGTTTTATTATCATTGCTACCTAGTTGGACCAAAATGGTGAGAAGCTGAATGCTAAGTGACCCCTTTCTGCTTAACCAGACTAATTTCAAATATTCTGGTGTTTATGTTAAGGAATTGAATGAAAGTGAGGGGGTGACATTTACTTACTAGCTCATTTATGTTCACTTGGTTTGAACCACAAGAGGCTAATTTAACTTTCCCCAGAGAAATATTAAAAACCAGTAAGACTATGCAGAGAGTATCTATATTGTAGATATTTATTCAGAACGCACTGGGAGGCATTCAGGTCAGACAAGCTGTGAAATTACAGAATTAACAAGAAAGCTAATTTCATGACAGCTGTTCATGGGTCAGTTTTCTCTTACCCTCACACAAGAAATCAGTTCTGACTAGTTCTAGTTTGCTACATAATCCCAGCCAACCCCCATGTGGAATGTTACATATTTGTGTGCTGCGGTTAGATATAATGCAGTTTAATGTGCAGGAAAACCATAGGACAAGCCTAGTCCCTTCCTCACACTCCAAAACAGCCTCATTTCCTCTTGCCTGAAAGGACAGTTTGAGATGGGGCTAGGATCTTATGCTGAGTGGGGAAGTGGAAGAAGAGCTAGAATAGCACTAGAGACAAAGCAAAGCTTTTGCCACAGTACCTTGGAACACATTTCTCATCTGTATCAATGAGGTCACACATTTTAAATTCTATGTTGGTCCTTCCTGAATCTGTCACTGGAGCACTCTTTGGAAATTCTGATATGGAAAATTGGCACATACAACTAAGAAAAAATAATCCAATTCCATCCCTTGATCTTGCCCAGTATTTTAAGGTCTATGTCACACCTTTGGGTTTTGATGGTTTGATAGCCAAGAAGCTTGGTCCATGTATTTTACATTTTGTTGATTTAGGCATTTGTACCGAGTTCATCACGGTATTCTCATTGGTACTCCAATGACTGATCTGGTTAATGTTTGTTTGGAAAAATAAGCCATGTTCAAATATTTTAAGCATATATCTGTTCACAGCAACTTAGTCATCCATTTACATTTGGCTTCAGCGAGAGATTTCTCAATGCCAACCTTAGGGTTTTCTTGCATAGGAAACTTGACCTGCATAGCCACAGCAGGACTGCTACTCCAAGTATTTGTATAATTGTGCTCATCAGATTCTGCATGTAGACATGCTCCCAGTTCCAGCTTTAGTCCGTCATAAAAGTACAATACAGGCACTGTTCACAATACACCTTTTCTCTTCTATGTGTGGCAAACCAAGCATTGCTAACGCCACGGACATTGCAAAATGCCCTGTAATATAACAGCAAACAGACTTGTAGTGTGCCACCCTTCATGTTGTACCTCTCACTTCAAGGAGATAAGTTCTATGAATGAACCCAACCATCCTTATAGCATTTGTTTTATTCTTTAACCTATACTTTGTTTTGAAAGCAAGTTTTTCAGCATTTTCAATGAGTCCTCTCCCGCCCCCACTCAACTCCGAGCCAAACTGTTATTCTGTCATGTTTAGCAGCAAGATATTTTTTCGAAGAAAACTGCCAATCAGAATAAAATAGTGTCATCGATTTAGTTATTTCTTCTTCTGATCCCCCCTTGCTAATGGTCTGTTTTAGTGCATGCAGTGAATTGGCTCTGGCCTTATTTAACAGGGTGAATTTGAAATTGAGATTTTTTTCACTCCTAAATCCCAGCACAAAGACAGCTGTATACACACTGTAGCAGAGATCTGCACATTTCTAGGCTAACCTCAGGTCCTTTTCAATCCAAAAAGGAAAGAGAAAAACTTTAAAGGGTCTGACTGTTACAAGTTCATTGCTCCCATGTTACGAAATCAAGTACTCAATCTACCGAGAACAGTACAACTGAACTTTCCCCCTTTTCTCCCATGCACTTCTGCCTCTAAAAAAAAATCCAGTTCTAACTTAAAGCCCAGGACTTTTCATACTCTCACTAAAAGGGGGTAACATGAGCACAAAACCGGACGCATTTTACAGGCATTTAGCAGCTAAAAGGCTGCTTACAAAGTCATTCTCTTGAGCTAAGCAGAAGCCTTCTGTATTTTGTGCTTGGCAAACCACTCGTCACTTTTGTCCGCTGCCATCGCCTGTACAAATAGAAGCGAACAATTTGTACAATGATAAAGTAATTAAAACAACAGCCATTTACAAAAGAAAACGTACCCAGGATTCTATCTGGGTTAGCGCCAGCCTGTCAAACAACTGGGTGATTGATGTAGTCACCAATGCTGACCCCCTCTCAAGTTGATGTGTGATTACCTAAAGCAAACCATCCTACCACGCTGTAAAACAGACACTCTCCCTGCACTGATGCAAGCAGTTTCAGAAGCAACTTAAAGGTACGGTGAGCAACTGTCACTGCTGCACCAGATAAATGTATCAAAGTGACTTGGCAAGACAGACATTCAGGATCACTGTCTCCTGCTGACACTTCCTTCTGGTTTGCAGACAGACTTTTCTGTAGCCGCTGCCCATTATTGTGTGACACTGTTATCCTGCGCTGACCTTACTGTAGTTACAACCAACAAGCCTGTTTCCACCACTACTTCGGTTGACTTGTAACTGATACTCTGCACCTCTAGCATCTTCCATTCTACAGCCACCTCTGAAGTGAGGGGTAGCAACCAGTGGTCCCTTTCAGCTACAGGGCAGCTCAGCTTCACAGGTGATTAATCAGCTCTGCCCAGTCACAGGCTCAGGGCTACATGCATGGAGCTGACTGAATGACGGGGCTGATTAATCACTTGTGAAGCTGAACTGCTGCACAGCTTAGAGGGAACGCTGGTAGCCACCCACCAGCTGCCACAAGAACAGGGAAGGAAAATTCTTTCCAGGATGCAGAGGCAAGTCCCAAAAGCTACTTGGGATTTTAGCAGTGAAGCATGAAGCACTCACGTGAAAGACCCCCTTTGGAACACAGGGCAGCTGCCTCTGAACAACTGGAAGGGCACTGGACCATATTGGGACTTTACAAGATAGAGGCAGTCTATGCATTTCAGTCCCCTCTCCAAGGAAACAATACAGAGCACACATGACTTACGTCATCTAACATCTTGTTGCCGTTAGGGTCCAGCATGGAAAGCTCTCTAAAGGCTTCGTCTCCTACAAAGCAGATTTCATGGCCATCCTAAACCAGATTTAACAGGGGAGAAAGTGAAATTACCTGGGGGAAGACTGAATTCAAGTGAAATCTGTCACTATTTCAAACACCACTCACGGGATCAGCCAGGATAATCACTTGCACTGTTGCTTTTCCAGGGGTGTCCAAGCTAACTAGGGGTGTTAGAATCTTCTGCTTCTCCTTCTTCATCAGTGCTTCAATGTTTGGCAGCTGAAAAACAAAGGGTGAGCTGAAGGTCAGATGTGTCCTATCTGGCTGCAATCAGTTACCCTGCCCATGTCTCAGCACCATCACAGTCTCACCAAGAGAAAGTTAAACAGAACTTTTCTTTGATGTTCTTATCTTGTTCCTATACAGACCTTCAAGTGGCTGTTGGTATTACCCGGAGTCACCCTCCACATGGCCACCCCAAGCAATAAAGGAAAGGGCTGGGGAAGAAGGAAATCAGACTGTTACCTCTTCTTTGGGGCAAGAGAAGGCAATCCGCCCAAAAGCTGTGCCGTGATCCACCGCTCCCCCCATGCCCTGCAGCTCCAATTTACACTGAAAGAGAGGGAGTGAAAGAGTCTAGCTTTCAGGGAAACTAATCTGTAGACAAAGAATTCATACAATTTTTACTCCACTTTTGCATGCATGCTAATCAGCGTTACGTAATAAGTTAATCACATCAAAGCCGCAGACGCTTATTTCCCAGTGCATTATGGTAGCAGTGCAACTTAACACAGAGGCCGCAAGCAGATCCAAAACCAACACAAAAGCAGAACAATTCACTCTGCGCATCTGACAAATTCTGACTGCAAATTACTGAGTGGATAATCTCATGCTCATTTTAACACCCCTGTGGCAAGAGCAGCGCAGACATTAATTTCCATTTTCACTCAAAATCACCATATTTCCTGGTATCTTAACATTTGTGCCTCTTCCCCGAGCAACTGGGGTTCTCAACGAATGGTCATTTTTCTCAATGACTAACCTGGTTATCTGCATAGCCTAGCAAAGCTCTCTGCTTTTTCTCATCTGTTTCATAAACTTTCATTCCCAGCAGATCAGACCAGTAGCTAACAGACTTCTGCAGGTTTGAGACCGCCAGAGTTACTTTTAGCACAGGATCTGCAATAGATTGTAATAGTTTCCTATTAGTGGTGTGGATGTCGTAGTTTTAAACTCTAGGTTTTTGTAACTATGCTGTTCGAAAACAAACAGCAACAACCTACAGCAGGCACGTATTTCTGTACATCTTGGCCAAGTTAGATTTGCAACCTTTTCTGATGTTCCAGTTCTCAGTCTTCAAGCAGAGAAAAGGCTAAGTGCGGGTTACCTTGCTTTGGTTGCTCTGTGTCTTCCAAGAAGAACTTATAGCCTCCCGGGGCTTCAGTTTCAAATAAACCCGTTGCAACTTCTTTGAGGGGCCATGCCATCTTCCTGGCATTGCTCACCGCCTGGCTGGACATCAGAGTCATGCCCTAGTGAGGAAACGAAGCACAAACATGCACCAATAGATCAGTTCAAAGATATACCAACACCATCTTTTTGGCTAACGGCACTGAAGACAGCGGATAGATCTCAAAGTATCCGCATGGAATCCTAATCTTCACCCATTGCCAGGAAGAGGAATCATCGCTCTTTGGCGCTGCTCTATACCCCAGGCTAAAATACCTACTGGTGTCAAGGAGACCTCAATAGCCCTGCCCCCAGCTTTTCAATCATCTGCCTTCTCTCTCTCAGGAAACCATTACACAATGGGTCTGCAGTAAGAGCTAGAGCCATCCTGAACAAGGGTCTACACAGCCTTTGAGAGGCTAGTTATCTTGCTTCTATGCAATTAATACCACTCTGAGGTCAATACGCCTCTTAGTCAACAGAGAAACATGAAGCAGAGGGTGAGGGCCAGATCCTGGCTCTCCCTGTCTTTGCAAAGCACACTAGAACAGCACACACCAACCAGATTTGGCAGAGGCAGTGGCTGAATCAAATCCACAGATCTGCCACCTTAGCGATGAATGGCTTCTCTGGCCACGCACCCCTCCCTGATGCCACAGGGGGAAGAACAGGATATTAGGGAAACAATGAGTGCACATAATACTGAACTGGGAGGAGAAAAAGCGAGCTCCTCCTTGGCTGGAAGGCAGGGGGAATAAGAAAGAACGCTGCAGTTCATGCCCTCTGGAACATATACAAATGTTCCCTCCCCCCAGCTGCAGCATGAGCACAAGGAACCCCTCCCCACACAAAAGACATGCAAACAGCACCCACGAGATTTTCCTCAAGGAACAAAAATACATAGGGAATCAAACAGCCTCTCAGCAGAGCATCCAGGATGCAAGCAAAATGCTCACAATAAGAACAAACAACATTAGGATGGCAAGTGATATTTACCAGAAAGTCACTGCCGAGTCGATACTCTCCTACTCCATAATTGTAGGTCAGCTCTGCCACAAAATGATCATCTTCGGGTCCGTAGCCCACCATTGTTTTACTCCACTTTCCATCATAAGGGCTAGGACAACCATCACATTTATTTGCAGTCAGTATCAGAAACAACCCCTCCATCGCACACACTAGTTAGAAATCCCTCAGGGCAAAAACGACATTACAGCTATGTCTACACTCACGGCTTCTTGCGCGAGTAATATGCAAATGAGGCTAAGCGTGGAATATCGCCAAGCCTCATTTGGATACCTAATGAGCCAACATTTTTTTTCAAAAGAGCCTCTTGCTCAAGAAGGAGCATCTACACTGCCCCTTCTTGCACAAGAAAAACGCTCTTGCGCAATGCCATTCTTCCTGAAAAGTAATAGGTGTAACGGCATTGCGCAAGAGGGTTTTTCTTGTGCAAGAAGGGGCAGTGTAGACGCTCCTTCTTGCGCAAGAGCTTCTTCTGAAAAAAATGGTGGCTCTTTAGGTATGCAAATGAGGTGCGGCGATATTCCACGCTTAGCCTCATTTGCATATTACTCGCACAAGAAGCCGCAAGTGTAGACAAAGCCTACCAGAATAAACAAGTGGTCCAGCTAATCCAGTATCCTATCCCTGACAGCAGAGCCAGACACTTCAGGAAGGTGCAGAAATTCATACTAGGGATGTGAACAGGTACCTTACTGGCTGATGGTTACAAGGCACCAGTTGACCAGTACCCAGGAGCAGCCCCCCACCTGTTACCAAATACTTGGATTCCCATGTTGGTTCTTATACACTGTAATCAAGTCACCCCTTTACCTTCCCTGGGAAGCTCTGTCTACGTGTGACCGGGAAGGCACAACCGCGCAGCAATCACAATGAATGAACAACAGCGCTTTTCGTATGATTTGAACCACAATTTCCCAGGCATAGGAACTGCACTACAGTGCAAGAGCCAGGATAAAATTAGGTGCCCTGAAGCTTCATATTTCAGCACATAAGCTGCTCACTAGGTGGAGTCAAAAAGTTATTTCCTCATCATGACATAGGCAAATTGTACAGTTAGACAATATATTATAAATGCTTTCATTTTGAAAAGCATCAAAAGCTGCCGGCAGTAACAGAATATTTTATTTTAGTGTATTTATTTGGATTTGAGATAAGAAGATACCCACCCAAGGTCCTAGACACCCTGCTATTAATAAACACAATACAATAAATGCCCAAAACCATGAAGTAGAAATCTCATTCAAGAACTGTGGCCTAGATCAAAGGTGTTTAGGTGTCTAACTACCTTTCAAGATCTGAGCCTACGTGACTAAGCAGAATGTTGCTCTGGTATACAAATGCTTATGTCCCACTGTGAGCACCACACACACATAAGGTGCATTATTATTTTCTTAAAAGGAAATGAGCAAGTATGTTCAACAAGCTATAAGTAATCCCATTTGGTTAGTTAGCCTCTGCAGCTGTTTTAGATTCAAGATGCTAAGAATTGGGTAATTGGCTAATTGGCTAGTCAATACAATTTGACTATAAGCTTAGTCAACCCAGGAACTACCCCCACTGCTGCTCCGCAGTTTACATGTAGTAGGAGCCAGGGTGCTTGCATCAAACTGCAGAGCTGTAGTGGAGATAGGTCCCAGACCTGGTGTGAGCCGGGACTAGGACTGCTGTGCCTTTGGATTTTAAATGTAGCAAGAACTGCCCGGCCCTTACTACATTTAAAGTGCAGAGGAGCAGCAGCCCAGGAGCCAGTGAGAGCCTCCCCTGCATCCCACCCTGTGTACTGTGGAGATGGTGATGCAGGGAACCGACTTTTAAGCTGGTTCTCTCCAGCAGCGGCTCCTGCACCCCCCACCTCTGCTGCCTCTGATACAGAAGCAGCAAGGTGGGGGGAAGCAAGCTGTTGAGTAGTTGACTCGGCTACCTGACCAGCTGAGGGTTATCGGGTCGTCGACTACTAGACTGGTCGCTTCCGTCCCTATTTTAAGACTCAAAGGAGAAAGACGTTACACACCCATTGCAAGTAGCTTTGCAGCCTTCCTCAAATTCTTCGTGTCGGAGAATCTGGCAGAGGGAGCACAAGCCACACGTAGAACCTACCGAGCCCGCAGCACGGAGAGCGCGGGGCAGGCCCCGATACACGGCTCAGGGCGCAAACGCTCCGCGGCAACACGGGCCGGGCTGCAAGGGAGCAGGCTCAGCGTCAGGCTGCGTGTCCCGGGGGGGGGGCGGATTCCCCCCCCCCACCTCACCCCAC